ACGCGGAAATGATGGCTTACCGACACTGATACGGTCGGGGATCCGAGTGGCCGAGCGAAAGAGTGGGGGAGTAGTGACAGATTCAGCACAGCGTTCACTGTCTTGAGGTGCAATATTATCTGGTGCTGCTGATTGAGCGAACAAAAACAAAACACACCACGCAACAGTTATGTATGTAAATACGATAAACCAGCTCCAGCTATTTATTATACGAGTAAATTTTAATTTAATCCATAGCGTGTACTGTACTGTACTGTACTGTAGTTTGTAGGACGAAAGAGACAGTTGCATATATCGGACACACTCGCGTGTTCTTAGATTACCAAAAGTGATATGGCAAATACATACATACATACATATATCGAAATTATAAATAAAATCGTGTATTAAAAATTTAATAGTTTAGAACGAAACCACATATGATAGATGTAAAAAAGTATTAAGAGATTGGGTAAAGGTAGTACCCGATATGCAATTGCGAGTAGAAAAATTTATTGAAATCAACTACTTTTTCATTGTGCTTTTTTGGCGACAAAACATGGTGCGAAATACCTTTGCGCTACCGTTGGAACATCTTTCAATGGCGCAAAACATCAGATAAGGTGACGGTAATGCCCTTCTTAGTCGTAAAAATGGCATAATGAAGATCAGATGAAAAACTTTCTGGGCGAAGCACATTTCGTAGTGTATGTATTCACATGTGTGCAATGATATTGAAATAGCTATAAGTCGATCCGATATTGCTCAAAAATGTGTATTCAACAATTTAAATTGATATTACTTTCGTGTAAACTGTAAATAAATTATCTTTAGCTTCCACGAGTGCTACTTGATTAACCTAAGTTTAAATGTCGGTTTTGTAAACATTACCTCGCCATAATATCCACGAATTCGTTGCAGAGCAGCACGGCCCCTGGATTGCATTTCGATTCGTTGGCTCTTTATTGACCATTCTTCGATAGCGGGTGGGTATATCCGGAGCAAACTGTTGGAGCATCTCCTATAACTACACTCAATGCCACAGTGTAAGCATTGCATAAGCTCCCGCCGTCGTTATAGCATATTTAAGGCTTCAACAATTTTCAGGCGAGCTTTGGGTTAGACTTATTTTAATTCACGGACCTACAACCAGCCTGCATCTGTACAGGGTGGATCTCGGTTTTCCTGATCCTTTTGTCAAAGCAGATTGGACCCAACAATTCCAATTGGTACCTTCTTTATTGCGCTCTTCTATGATTCCTCTGATCTTCTGATCGTCGAGTGCAAGCTCTGAATTCTGATGCCAGCCGCTTTTACCTTTTTCGGTGCCGTTACTGAGACTTCCTCCACCGCTCGTTGGCACTAAGTGACCTGAGGCTTTCCATACGATTCAAATTATTGGCTTCGCCCATAGGGTGTCCTCCTCCACCTTCATGAAATCCCGCTGATCCTACCTAATCGGCGAGGTAGCAAGACATGACCGGTACATCGGATTTTTGGCCGCCCAAGATCGATGTTATCTGGTTAAGCCCATAATCGAACCGCTGTCCAACTAGTTGACCATCTAGTAGACCTTCTAGTTCATTTCATATCATTTATTCATGTGTTTAAATACATATCAGGGATGTCGCGAATATTTGCATTTGTATTCGTTATGCGAATGAGTCGCATTATTTTACATATTCGCATTCGCGAATGTTTTGCGAATATAACATTTAAAAGATCCCAAATACATATATAGTATAAATTGGTCCCCATAGTGGAAGAAAAATGAGAGTCGCGCGCCCAGCCGGGTATATCAAAAAATCATATGTCTGCACACATATGCATGCATACAAATCTACATTTATTGTTTCAACGAATTAATTTCATGTTTTCAGAAAATCGCAATAATTATTTGAACAATCGATTTGAAATCAGCTTTATATAGTGTAATTATATGAATATGCAAACAACTTTACAAACCCAAGTATGTACGGATGCAAATATGGTGTGTGTGTGTGTATATATACATACATATATACGGTCATTAAGTTGTTCATATGTATATTGACTATTTTATTTGAAAATAACGTTTTATTAAAAAATGGATTTATCACAAAGATAATACTTATCTGTAGTTATCTGTAGTTAAAAGTTATGCTCTAAAATATTGTACCTATTTTAAGTGTAATATATTGACAATTAGAAAAAATTAAATTTTACGCAATAAAATCTTTGATGAAATATTAAAATATTTGTTTCTCTTTTAGATTGTTTCACTTTGGATTATTTACATATGTATATGGTAAGAATAGGTTTATTTGTTTGGAGTTAATGTTTTGTTGCTATTTCAGACACTGGCTCCACTGAGCCAACCAAGTTAGTGTTTGATTTTTTCATGGTAAATACACCGATTGTAAGAAATGTGATACAAGTTTAACATTTGAATGTATGGCTGCAGCTGAGTGTGTAGATATGCTTGCCGTCCGAGGCAATATGTTAAAATGATAATAAAAAATAATTATGAAAAAACATCTGTGAAGTGCATAACGTAAACGTATTCAAACGAAAAAATTTCCAACCAAAAATTTATTTAATTTAATGTGGTTAATATAACCCAATCATTGTTGAAAATATCAATAAAATCATTGTTTAATATATAAACACAAAAATCACTTTGATTCATTTTCAAGTTTAGATTCGGTAATATTAACTGATTTTTGGTTGAATTTTTTCTCAGTTACCAAATCAACGTGGAGCCTGTTCACCATATGAACGAATGAGAAGCTGCAATTAGGCATCCACGTCGACGGCACACCAATACCTATGGTTAAAACTCGTAAACCGAAAGTTTTGCTGATTACCTAAGACAGCTTATTTTCCCTCTTCGCGCCTAAAAACATATTTGCCAAAAAAGTGCACTCAAAGTCATCAATAGGTCGCAGGCAGCACTTGGAGAAATACAAAGAGGCGTTGTGGGCATTCTAAACTATGAAGCGTCACTTAAGTCACTTAGGGCCGGTTGTTCAATGTCTGGTTATCACTACCACTACACTATTGACGTTTTCAAAATCATGCATATAACATGTTATCGATAAAGCAGTCGTTGTACTTAAGCGGAGCTTCTACCTCCGATTTGTGTTAATCAGATATTGAACAACCGGCCCTCACTGCTGCCGCGGGAAACAGCCGAACATGCCCCGTCTTAGGCATGACATATCCATACATATATGTATTGCACAAGCACTGGGCCTCACGTTATACCGACAAACCATAAAATATATTCACTGCGGGGCAGTGACCTTTTTTAGCGACGCTCGCCAGGTGAACCCCGTCAATGGATTTTAACCAACAACCATTCCACAACGAAGATCTTCAGCAGCCTCGAGAAAGCCGAGTAACTCGGATGCAATTAAAGTCTGAATTAGGGATGGGTAGTGTAGGTTGAAACTCGATTTTTTCCGAATTTCAAACATTTCCCAACATATCGATTATTCAGTTCGAAGTCCGGTGGTACAAATTCGATTTCTTCAAATATTTTAGAAGTTTTACACATTTTTTAGAGAAAATTTAAAAGTTTGTTTGTAAGAATGATAACCGAAATCGGAAAAGATATTTTAATGGACTTTTATTGATGTGATTAATTATCCCATCTCTTTTTAGCTTCACAACCAAAAATAAATCAAATAAGAAAATAAGAAATAAAACAAGGAACGAAATAGAAGTCCAGCAAAATAAATAAAAATTGCCGCGACGTGGAAAATATATCAGAAAACTAAAAAAAAAATTATAAAATGTTTTTATATTGTTTTAAGTATCAATTAAAAAAATTAGCAAGATATATGTATGTATATAGAAACATTTCTTTTATTTTTACAACGAATAAAAAAGTCGAACATATCTCAATTGAAGAACCCCAAAATCCACTCAAATCTATTCCCATCTAAAGTGACTCAAAGGATGATGAAAATTCACTCAAAGTCGAAAGGTGACTACAAAACCAAAAACTATTAAAAACTAAGCGACTTTTAGAGCAGGTAACAGTTGTCAGAACGGCCAGTGAAAGTCATACAAAGAAAATTTAGAAAAGTTACGCAAATATCTAAAGTTAATTTTTGTTGTTGTCATTATAGGAGTGACTTAACCGGCTCACTTAAAGAAGAGTGAATTAAATATGTAGAAAATTAGCAAGCGAGGCTGACGGAGGTTTAGTTTTGTTTTCAGCATTCAGACATTATCGCAAATGCACTCAAACATCTGTTGCTCTCTTGACCACTCCACTCTTCATAAAACAAAAAACTCAGTTAGAATAGTTTGAGGGACTTCTGGCGCTGACATCAATGAGTGTAATATAGAGAGCATGTTTGAAAACAAAAGGAAGCAGAACTGTCTGCGCATTGTTTCAAAAGTTCTATTGTTTTCAAAACCAAAACCCGCAGCTACTAAAAATTTAAAGGGATTATAGCGGCTGAGCCGCCAAATAACACTGAGAAAGGTTGAATGAGGTAATCAGGTAAAAGATGAGAGGTCGCGCGGCTTAGTTGTGAGAAATTTAAATGTTTTAGTTGTGTTGTTGGTTTTTATATTAAGTTATAGAAAAATACAAACGACAGAAGATTACAGCGTTTTAGCCATACAAGGAAGAAAAGGTCAGAGTGAATCCTTGAGTGAAACATTCAGCTTAATACGCATGCACCTAAAAGATCATTAAAAATTGTGTTGTTCTCTAAACTAAATATGATTATGGGAAAGTCCGGATGTTATAGCTTCTGAGCCGTAAGAATAATGAAAGTAACTACATACTGCAAGGCAAATCAGGTAAAAGACATTATGCAAATTGTGCAGCAGATTGAGTAGTATTTGCCGCAGGTGCGATGAGATGACTTTTCTTATTCTAATGAATTTAAATATGAGGTGACATAGTGCAAGAATAATAATAAAACTATGGTGGAATTCAATTCAAAAAGTAATTCAAAATATCTCGGGGCAATTCAGGCCTTGAAGGAGAAGAGAACAGTTGAATAAGGCTCGTTCCTTTTTTCGGACAAAACAAATTTTATATTGATGCAAAAAATTTCGTTTCGCAATATCTGCATTAAAAAAAAAACGGTTTTTACAGTACAGTGTTTTTTGAAACAGTTTTTAATAAAATAAAAGAATTTTTGGTGCTATGTGCACCTGTTTTACACCCCGCGACAAAAAGATGCGGTCTAACAAAAGCCATGTATGTAGATCCAAACTTGTTACTTTGTACAAAAATTCGAAAACTTCAAAAAATTTCCACAACAACAATTTTCTGGTTGGAAATGTCTACAAAATACCGTTGATTTTTGACATTTTTTTGAAGAGTTTTCGATAAAACTACATATTTGCAGTCATGGGACGAACTTAAACTAGATAGGTACAATGCAAAAAAAAATTTATAAAAAAAAAACTGACTGAGTAATTGTGGTCAAGCATTGCTTTAAATTTTTATAATATCCATTGCAATTTATAAGACAGTTTCACTTGAAGTTATAATAATTTTATGAAAATAAAATTTTTCGAGTGCTCAATTTAAAAAGGGAATATTTTAAAAAGACCTAGGAAGCGAGCTAATTTATACCTGGGAGAAGTAAACATTAAATATGCGTGTCATATCTGAAATACTTCCAGCTGCGAGCAACTACGTCGGAATATTTTTATATATCTGATTGTTCAGATATGAGGTCTTTTATCATAACTCCTCCATTTATGCAGCTATGAACATGAAACTACGCACCGTTTTTACTCATTATTAACAGAATACTAACAGTGAAAATAACAAGGATCGGGTCATATGTATAACATATGTCTTCCATTGAACTGATTGTTCAGATATGAGAATTTTCGTCATAACTCCGCCATTTATGCAGCTGGGAACATGAAATTTTGCAATAATATCACCCATTATCAAAAGAAATCTTACAGTGAAAATGGTGAAGATTTGGTTGCTATAACCTATAGTCTGCATACAACTGATTGTTCAGATATGGGGTTTTAATGTAAAACTCCTTTATTTGGACAGCTAAAACCGTTAAATTTCGTAAGCTATTTTATAAATAATAATAATACAAAGTCTACTTAGAAAATCGTCAAAATCTATGCTATATAAGCTTTATCTCCTATACCACTGCTTGTTCAGATACTAGTTTTTTCGATATATCTCCTTTATGTAGGAAGATAAACCCATTAAATTGTGTTACAGGTTTATATACCGATCACATAGCAGTGAAAATCGTTTAGATTAGTGCTATATAAAGTATATCTTCCATACCTCTGCTTGTTTAGATAAGATTTTTTATATATGTAAGTCCTCTATCGATCTATGCTGTGGATATAGATGAATTTTTTCAAAGCAGTAATCTGTCAAAGTAAAATTCTCTGATCTTCATGAAAGGAATGAAGCCTTCGGCATAGACGAAGACAGCGTGGCTCTTACTTGTTTCTGTTAATTCCTTCAAGAAAAGGCGGGATGTGCTCTCTTTGACTAATACGTGAAAACCTGTTTGCATTTAAAGCTCAAATTCGCACTTCAAGAGAAGTTATTTTTATCGTTTTAAAAATTAAAAATGTAGATTTCAAAAGAAAGTAATGGTTATTATTTAATTTCTATTATTTCTTTATCTAAAGTGGGAAAGTTTGGGTGGGCTCTGCCCAGTTTCGTTATTTGACCTAGAGACTTCATACGTCACAATTAGACACTTCTTCTGTGATATTAACAATTTCAAAGAAGTTGTATTTCAAACAAACGAACGAATCCTATGCATCTTTTACCACGTCGCTGCTAAACACTTACAGCACTCTCATCGTCAAGAAACTAGCTTAGGGAGATCTGTGTAAAGACAGAGAAAATCCTAAATTAGATTGAAACGAAAACCTGGCAGCTGCCATGGCCGTGTGGTTAGAGAAAGAAGCGCATTATCACTCGGTAGGTGATTTCTGAGAAACGTACATAAGTTGCGGCTGAACTCCATTGCAAAACACAGCAAGCTTGAGCTCATGTGGATACCGGTACTCTGTGTGATTTAAGGCAACACTAAATAAAAAACGTCGGGGATCTATGAATAATGATCATAAGAAGTGATCGCACGGTATTCACACCTGCAAAACAACCAAGTGTTTCCTACCAGCACAGATAGGACTGATTACAGGCCACACTCCCTGGGAGCGACATATGGTAACCAGGTATAGCATCG